ATATATATATATATATATATATATATATATATATATATATATATATACTCTCCTCTCTCTCTCTCTCTCTCTCTCTCTCTCTAACTCTCCTCTCTCTCTGGGAAACTCGGAGCTCGGGCCCTGCTCCCTTTAGAGATAAGAAGGGGAGGGAAGGTACTGTCCCCGCCTCTGTGACACGTGGTGTCGCACTCCCCCAGGCTGAGCTCCCCGGCCCGTCCACACCGGGGCGCAGAGCCCCAGGCGCCCACCCCACGCTCTGCCATCTCCCACCCCAGCGGTGCCTGCTCCCTGGAGCCCACCTCCGCGGTGGCCGCCTCCGCCCACCCCACCCCGCTCCCCTTCAGGTCTCAGGGTCCCCTTTTTGTTGTTGCTGTGGTCACCCCCATAGGATCAGCTTCCCGGAACGGAGTCGAGAGCCCCTGGCATTGTCCGAGGCATCGACAGGAATTGCTTTTTTGCCTCGCTTCTTAAAATCAGAGGAGAAGGAGGAAGCCAAATCAGTGGCGCGCTGGTGGGCTAGCTGAGCCAGCAGGGTCCTCGCGGGCCCTTCCTGACGCCGCTCGGGATATCCGCAGATCACAAGGAATGTTTATTTGTTCAGATGAAGGTTCAAGAAAAGCTGACTTGGGTGTGAGGTCAACGAGTCTGTGCAAAGCGAAATGTGGTGTTTGGGGACAAAGGTTGCGTCCGGTGGATGAAACGATCCAGAAGTAATGAAATAAAGTGAAACCGGTTTGGCTGTCAGAGGGCTGAAGAGGGATTCAAAGCGCTCTTCGTGTCTCTCAGGATGGGTGTGTTTTAACCTCCTAAAAACAGCGAGTTTAAAAACAGGCGCAGGGCTAGCAGAAGAACGAGGCGGTGGGAGGGAAGAGAAACAATTAGTTCTGAGAAATTTGGTTTTCTCTCTCTCTCTCTCTCTCCTCTCTGGGGGGCGGGGGCGTTCCAGGAAGATGGGGGCCTAGGTGAGAACAGCCGAGGGACTGTCCTGTGAAAGGAGGTGGAGGTACGTTCTGCCTCGCACTGGAGACATTAGGCAGCTGTGCCAGAGCAGTCGCCAGGAGGAAGTTTTCTGCACACGAGTGCCAAGCCTTAAGATGGGGAACGATTTCTTCACGACAGGAAGAAATTCCGATCAACAGATCAGCGGCGAGCACTCACCTATACGTGACACAAAAAAACTCTTGAAAGGCGGTGAACTAAATGGTCTTGAGGGTGGATTATTTCCAATTTAAAAAAAAAATCTATTTGTTGGTATTAATTTACAGAATGGCACTGATGCTCAAAGGGCAAACCTCTCACATCAGGGCCAACAGTAAACTGATAGCACAAAGGAGCTCTCACATCACCCAGCTGATAAGTCTCTTCAAGCTTTTTATTGGGGTTTTAAGTAAAGCGCATTGTCCATCTCATCTCTCCCTTATGCTTTGGTGACTGACAACTCGCTTCTGCGTATGAATGGGTGCTTTAAAAGGCTGGCCTCCGTCCATCTTCCCAGCATACCCACAGCTAGCTTCGCGGACGAAATGAAGTGCTGAGGGGCTGGGTTGGGGACAAGGGCAATGAGTGAATTTTCAATAACACAAAGGTTGCATGGTGGATCTTTAAAGTACAATTTATTTGACAGTACGTATTTGCCAGCCACAATAAAATGAATAATAACCTGCTTGAAAACTTTATTACCTACAGTTCATACAAGGTAAGTAAGTGATTAAGAGAAAATACTCGGAAAATTGCAAGTCAACAGAGAACTGGGGTTAATTTCCAGTTCTTCTACCTTAATAAGTTACAATGATTACAGCACTACACAGATTCTGTTTGTTACCCAAAATGTGACATTTTAGCAGTGATATAACTAGTAATTTTTTAAAGCTGCCAGATTAAAACATAAGTTGCAGTGCACAAAATATGTACTCTTTTTAGAAATGTACTTTGAAGTTCAAATAGTTTTAAATGATAAAAAAAAAAAAAACAAGACTAGCATGCAATGAATATTGGCCAGAGGGTTTGAAAGACAGCCTTCCTGTTTCTGATTCTGTCAAGTGGAAAGCCACTTGACAAAGGAAGAACTCTATCCAATTCTCTCATCTAGAAACAAGATAATTAGCAAAGTGGAGAGTCCATTTAGACTTTTGGTTTCTAAGTATCTAGTTTGGAAGTCACTTGTCATAATGAAATATGGAAACCACTTAAAGAGCATTAAAGTCTAATTCTGCAAATGAAAGGACAGCTAATTTCATTTTTTACAGTGTTTTTGTTTGTTTGTTTGCTTTTGTTTTCTGAGACAAGGTCTCATATAGCCCAGACTGGTCTCAAACTTACTATAGAGCTGAAAATAACCTTTGAATTCTGACCCTCCTGCCTCTACCTAAGTACTGGGATTTCTGGCCTGTTCTACCACTCCTGTTGTTCCTGGGTGCTAGGCAAGCACTCTACCAAGTGAGCTATGATCCCAGCTACAGAGGAATTTTAATTCAGCATAAGCTAGACACAGGTGAAGACAGAACAAGCCAGAAAATGAGGAGCCAGAGATTAGAATAGATCACAAGAGCCGGTGTGAGGCAAAGCAGAGCAGTTCAGTAAAGAGCTGAGAGAGAAGCTAGATGGAATCAGTCAGCTGGGAGAGGAGTTTGACCCACAACAGCTGAGTTGAACCAGACAGCCAGGGTTCAGAAAGAACAAGAAAAAGTAAGTTCATTCAGCAGTAAGTCTCAGAGACTGAAAACATTCTAGGCCTAGATTAGGTTGTAGGGAGGCTAAAAGCTTCCAGAACTAGGCCTAGGTTAGCAGATAGAAGCAGTAAGCCTTGGAGACAACAATTAAATCAGGCAAATAGAAGATGCCTTAACACCCAGACCACTTTTTCTTGCCATCTCCAAATGTTTCTCAGCCCGAATCTTTTGTTACTGTGCCAAACATGGAGCAAATGTGTATCTTTGACATGTGTGAATCCCCCAGTGGAAACACTAAGAACTCCAGTTGAGCGGTTTTCAACCTTCCTATTGCTCTGACATTCTAATACAGTTCCTCAGGTTGCGGTGACCCCCAACCATAAACTTATTTTTGTTGCTACTTCATAACTGTAAAGTTGCTACTGTTGTGAACTGTAAATATTATTGGTAATAGAGGTTTGCCAAAGACTTGAGAGCCACAGGCTGAGAACCACTGCTCTAAGGGATAGTATATCTGATTTCCTTGCCTTCTCTCCCCTCTCGCTGAGTGAGGGGAGTATCAATCAATAACAGAGAAGACCCATAATGACATGGTGGAACTTGACTAAGGCGCAAAGGGCCTGCAAAAAGGAAGGGATCATCACAGGAAATTAGAGCCTAAACAAGGTCATAAATGTGTCTAAATAAGCGGAAGAGACGGACGAAGTCAGAATATTTATCCCTAATAAATAAAGGCTATACGCATGCACACAGCCAGGCCATTGGAGTGCAAAGACAATTCAGGAAGCATTCTTCTCAGGGTGCTTTGCCAGAGCCCACCTAGAAGAGGAGGTTCTCCATGCAAAGCAGGAGGCTAGTGTGGCCTGCAGAGCCACAACACAATAAGAAAAATCTGTTGGTCTGGAGGAGAAAGACAGTCAAAATGAAGCCTAATTACATATGGGAATCTGCAAAGCAAGTAAGTATGAGTATGTTATATTTCATATGCTGTTACCTTTGTTGTTCAAGAAGGAAACTGCAAATACAGAGAAGGAAAACTAGACTGAACTGCTTGATTTCGGCTTAAACTGAGATATCATTGTTACCTACTGGTTTCTAGTATTAAAACACACAGAAAGGGATAACATTGCAGCTATGTCCTGCCTTATCCATTGGGAGGGCCTGGAAACAGCATTCAAATAGCAGTGAACACAGCTACAGCACAAAGTTTGACTTGGGTACTTTTTCCCCTGTATAGAATCAGGGCTCCTTATGGAAATGGCTGATGCCCAGGCTATTGGACACAACTAATAGGAATATCTTCTTGTGCTTGAAAGCCTTGAAATGAGCATGTTCAAATAAAGGAAGAAATCCATATTAAACCAACCCAGATGCTGAAGCAGGAGATCAGCATTTCACATAGTTCCAGGGAGGAAGAAAGGCTTTCATTGTCCTTATATAACCTTATAAATGTTTCCAATTTTTAAAAAGTAAAACATTGAGTACTAATAACAAAGGGGAAAAATTCCTGCAACAAATTACATTGAAAGTAAGACTAAAATTTTATTAAAATATTAATAATCTTCAATGAAACTAATACTTATTTTCAGCATTTATACCATGAGTGAAAGAGTGACCAGAGGCTTCTTGAGATGTAGCTTGTAACCAAGAGACTTGCTCAACATGCATTGAGACCACAGTATCCATTCCCAGCACTGGCAAGGAAAAAAAAAAATGTTACTCCCAATTTTACCTTTAGGAATCTT